CGAAAAATCCATCTGCAATGGAAGTGCTCAGGCTTTGTTCTATCCAAACTATATGCCTCCTGGTTTTTCTTTCTAAGACTCTCCGTCTTCTCCTCTCCATCTCTCTCAGAATATTTGGAATAGAGAATCCGTGAGTCTGGCTTCAAGCATGTGGGCTTTCTCCTCCATATTTCATATGCGTTATGAGACCCAGCTGATTAAATTGCAAGTGAACGCCATGACTCGTCCTCCTTCAATATGTAATAAATGTATTTTTTCCTCGGTTTTCTCATATTCCGTCTGTCGGTTTCGTGCCTTCTCAGGAGGATGAATCAGACTTTATGCATGTTTCAAGGCCTAAGGTGTTTTCTATAGAGGGGAAAAGTACCTGAACACCTCTGCAAAGTCTTTGTGAGATTCATCAAGCACTCTCTCCGCTTTATCCCCGCCTCGCCTGTACTGTGAAACTTAAAGTACAGCAGAGTGTCGTCGGGCAGTGCAACATGTCTGTCTGTTAATCTGGTGTTTGTTATCATCCCTCCACCGTCTCACCATCATGTCCATGGTGTGACATGGCCAGCTCTGTTGTCACGGCATTTATAATTCAGTCTTATCAATAAGAGATGGACGGCATTAAGATTTTATCTGGTGATGCAGTGCCGCTGTCTCTGAGAGCCTCTTTACAAGCGAATGACTGAAGAGCAAAACTTTCCCTCTCTGTTCTGACTTCCAGGCATCACTTGGCATTAGTATAACCTTAGACGATCCTTGTTCCTACAATATGCTTTTAGAAGCTGATTCCTGGTGCTAGCTAACTCCCCCGCCCTTCCTCATCCAAGCCCCCAGCCTTTTAATTAGTTTTGCTGAGGCTTATATTTACTCATGTTGTTTTGTGCTTCTGTCTAAATGGCACAAATGTATCTTTCAATCCGTGCTATCGGGCTGAATCAGCGTTGTCGTTTCGTAGCTCACTCAGCGGAAAGAGCTGATGTGTGCACAGGTCTGTCAGTAAAACAAGATTTAAATCATCCCAGTTTACACTGACAACATGGATGGCCTTGCATTATGAATGCATACGTACCATCACCCTGTTCATGTGGTCGGAGAACAGCTTGGCTAGTAACTGCTGTTTTCTAATGGTTGTCCATCTCTGTTTTTTCCCACACATCTTCAAGGTATAATGGCGTCTGTCTGTTTTGACATACTGGTTTCCTCTTTTTTCTCTGCGGTTTAATGTAGCATCTGCCACCCGGAGAGATAAACAATACGGCTAGATAAAAGAGAGAGGGGAGAGCAAACTGGAAAGAAAGGACTGTATGTGTCAGTTAGAGCTGATAAAAGCCTGGAAATCCAATTAGTCCTTCGTATCAGGGAGAAGGAGGAGGCCTCTGGGGAGTGATGTCGGAAGATATCTACCACCGTGGCGTGTCAATAACACAACATTTACATACTATTGATGGATCAGCATGTAAAATCGAGCTGGATGTCTTCTTGTAAACCAAGACTATATTTAGTATTCTTCCTTGACAGGTTGTGCCTACATCAGCTTTTTGAACAGATAAACAACTATCAAAGGGAAATACTGTACCTCCCACATCGAAAAAAAACCGCTCTGAAAGAGGAATCAATGGTCTTCATTTAAACACACTGGATCTATTCTCTATTCACTCTCGATGTCCTGGAATCCATTTTGGGGACGAGGTATTCACTGCTAGTTGCATACAGGTTTTTTGTGGATTTCCTCATTGACGGTGTCTTGTTTTCATCCCAAGGCGTAAATGAAAGAGGGATGCAGGCAGGGAGAGAAAACGAAGAATCAGCAAGGACAATTTCAAACAGCATAGCGCCGCGGGTCAGAGCTTATGTGTTCCTCTGTGGAAGAACCACAGTAGAAAGCCACAGCAAACACAGCTGCTGTTGGACAGTGTTATTGGTGTGTTTGTGTGCATGTAGTGTGTATTTCTGTGTGTAGGTGTGTTTCACGTTTGTGAAAAGCAAGAACACGACGGAGGATAGAGGACATGTGTGGGTGTTTGGTAAGAAGTGAATGTGCACAACCTGGACAACAGTGTAGAGTTGAGATGAACAGGGAGCTTTGTTTGAGGCAGAAGAGCGATGTTTCTCACCTATAATACTACATGGCCGTTATTAGTTGTCATCATGATCGTGGATTTAAGGTGGAATGGCCCTACTGTACCTCCTAGATGGGTCAGTAGGCTGTAGTCATCTATTCATAAACATGATCACCACAAGTAGGTTCAAAATCACAAGGCCTTTAGGGCAGTAATAATGAGTAATTAAGTAATAAACAAAGGACAAACTCGGGTGACGTAGTATAAAGACTGACAAAGTGTGCGTATGTAGAAGGATGGGGGTGGATGAATGTATGAAAAAAACACATAACGTTAACCCAGGAGACCAATATTTGTTTAATGTGTGAAAAAAAAACACAAAACAAAACATTTTACATATTCAAAAGGACCTTGTTGTTGGTTTTGGAATGTTCCCTTTCCTGTAGTGTGTTATAAAGGTGTTTGTGCATGTAAATGGTCTGCAAAGCCCCCCCCCCCCCCTGCCTGACATTCCTCCATTGGACTCCTTTGTTTACTTTGTAACATAATGACATCACTATATAACACACGCGCTTCTATTGGCTAGCGTTCCAACACATTGAACATGATAGTCTAATGGGACATCTCTAAGCAGTTGATCAATCACAACAGAGCCGGCCAGCTAACCAATCAGAGCAAACTGGGCTCTGGTTTCAGACAGAGGGTGAAAAGAGGTGCTGCAGCACAGGCAGTATGAGAACAATAAAGAGCTTTTTGAACGTTAAAGCATGGAGACATGTCCCAGTAGAGACACAAAACACAAATATGAACCTGAAGATGAACATATATCCTCTTTAAAGTTTCTTCATTGCATGACAAACATACTTATTTTAAACAAAACCTTTATCTTTCTAAACCAAAGCATTAACATTTGCCATTTGGTTAAAACTGCCTCTGTCACGTGTGGGTAGGTGCAGTTTGCCCACGTCTGAAGCAATATAATGGTAAAGAAACCAACTGATAACGGCCATTCAATAGGCTGATGTCATACACAACAGTTTGTCTTGTGTAGTCATGTCTCATCCCATAAATGTTGACAACACTTCAGATTCTGTCTTTAATAAGTGTGACAGTTGTGTATGTGTGTATCGAGGTGCAGTGGCGTGTGTGTTTGTGTGTATTTGTTCATTTAGCCTGCTTATCCCCATGTGGCACTGTATTCCAGTCGGGTTGTCGTTAAGGTGTTGTTGTCCCAACAGAGAGACGTAGCTGTTGTCTTGTTTTTATTGTCTATATCTTCTGGCCACATAATCCACACACACGCACACACACACACACATACACACGCACACGCACACACACACACACACACACACACACACACGCACACGCACACGCACACGCACACGCACACACCCCCACCTTACCTTACTGACAGTGGAGCATCTCAGTGGGCACACTAATGCTACTGAACCTGCGGTCGCACCAACCTGTGGACCTTCGGGGACAGAGCCTTCAGTATGGCAGCCCCCACTCTCTGGAACGCTCTCCCTGCGGAGATCCACAACATCCCCACGCTTGACGCCTTCAAAAGGGCCCTCAAGTCCCATCTGTCTGCCAAGGACTTTGGCCCCAAATCTATTTGTTGTTTTGTCTGTCTAAACTGTTCGTCTGACTGCCTTTTGTTTTTGTTATGTTTGTTATGTTTGTTTATACTCCTGTTCTTCCTTGTAAAGCGACCTTGGGTCTCATGAAAGGCGCTATAAAAATCCAAGTTATTATTATTATTATTATTACTGCTTGTAAACTGACTTTATGATTATTGTCACTGAAGTGTATTCCTGCTCTAATTATCTGTCAGGATCAAATAGGCACACCAATTCAGCTTTGGGGTATTGTCCTCTCGTAATCATTGGATATAAAATGGATAGCAAAGAAAAGCTTAATGTTAGAGAATCAAATGTTTCTCGTTTATTTAACCTATTTTCATATAAAAGTTACATTCTTAATAAAGCATTCTTAAGAGAGTTAAGCTGCTTTATTTGCTGAGATGTAATAGGCAATGAACATGGATGAACAGTATAAATATTAATAAGTCAAACACTTGTTTCTATTGGTTTCTTTTGCTATAACCCTACAGTCTTTCGATCTTGGCTTTTATAGTAATAGTAGATAAGGCTGCAGTCCGGATAGTGAGGTAACACTGCCTCAGGTTTATAAAAGCAGTATTACAGTTGCCACAGTAAACTCAGGGGGGCTTTACTGTTAATGAGGAAGAGCTAGTGGGGAACTAATAGGATTGTAGTGAAATTTGGTGAACTGCATGTAAAGATTAATTATAAAAAAGCTCCATTTAACACGTATTTGGCTCTAATTGTTATGTTAAACTACCACAAGGAGAGCAGAAGTTGCAATGTTCTGCACATCTAGAGGCAGTTTTCTTTTATTGACCTTGGTGATATTGCTACATTAGCATTCACAGTTCTCTTTTTTACAGCTGCTTTATCACTTCTGTTCCACATTGTGTTGACGAGGTATTTTTGAAGTTGTCTACTCTTTAGATTAGAACACATTTTCACTCTGCTCATTGACCCCTGTCTTCATTATCCTCCTCTCATCCCCTCCTCTTCTGTCTCTGTCCTTCACCTCTGCCCCCCCCACACCTCCTCCCACCCCTCATATCCACCCTCACCCTCTCAGGGGGAGGTGAGTCCTGTGCTGGCCACGGGCCCAGGACCATTAGCCCCAGCCTGGCAGCCATGTGCTCATCACCAGAGATCATTACACCCAGCCAATGACACCACTCTAATGCATCATTAATGATTGATTAACGAGCTGAGCTCAGCCCAAACGGGTGCATTTGTACGGAAGAGCACCCTGTAATGGCTGTGCAAGGCTTGCATCTGCTATTTCCCCCCGTGTTTAGTGTGTGTGTATTTTTTTCTTATCATTATGTGTCTTATCCCTCAGGTTGAAGGTGCTGCAGACTCCTTTGAGTGAAACAAAGGACGAGGAGGCGACTGCAGGGAAGCGCGATGGCAGGGCGGGGGCTCTCCGGCCCTCTCCCTATATTCACCCTGCTTCTTGTCCTGGTGGGATTCCTACCTGTGACCCAGGGCTCTGGCCACTTGTCTGGGTATCGCCTCAGGTCGCGCCTGCAGAGGGATCGCCACTTCCGCAACATCCGACCCAACATCATCCTCATCCTCACCGATGATCAGGACATAGAACTGGGTGAGACATTTTCCTCCATGAATCCCTTCCTGTGTGTGTTTACTGTGTGTCTGCCTCTCTCTGTTTGCTTTATGTCCCATGGGTATGGGTATTCCCTGCATGTGTATCTAACAGCATCAGCAAGGGAAAGTCAGCCTAATGCTGCCTCTTGGCACCATAACAACTGGCCCACTCTAAGTCATGTGCTCGCTTTGCCAACTCCTCCACTGCTGGCATGAAATGAGGGGCAGCCTATGGCTTCCATTGTCCGGGTGCCAAACCCTGGCCATCTCCCATCCCGCTTAAGTCCTTTAGCGGCGTATTGGACTGGAGTGGCTGCATAATGGCCTCTGTGACATCTTTTGTCCTCCTGTGATCGCCAGTGAGAAGGCTCCCATTGAAAAGCAGGAATTTATGGTCAAGCATCTGTTTTCCCAAACAATCACCATCAGCCTGAAAAGCTTTTAGTACACAGGAATCTAAATAGGTTACACTTTACCAAAAAGATTTATTCCCTCATTTACTTTCTCCCATTCCTTTTATTTAAGAAAAATGCTGTTTACCCCGTGTGACTTATATTTATATTTTTCACTCTCTGTTTCCCTTTTGATCTTCTCCAACTGTTTTATATCCCCCTGGGTCCCTTTCACTTCACTCCTTGGCCTCTCACCCTCCTCACCCTTTTTATAACCTCTCTCCCCTTTTATCTTCTTCTCCCTCTCTTTTCTCCTCCCAGGCTCAATGCAGGCCATGAACAAAACTCGGCAAGTCATGGAAAAGGGCGGCACGCATTTCTCCAACGCTTTCTCCACTACGCCCATGTGCTGCCCGTCGCGCTCATCCATCCTGACGGGAAAATACGTGCACAACCACCACACCTACACCAACAACGAAAACTGCTCCTCGCCCTCGTGGCAGGCTCACCACGAGCCGCACACCTTCGCCGTGCATCTCAATAACTCTGGCTACAGGACAGGTGAGCACCGCCAGTCTGACACATGAAAGTGGAGGTATATTTAAACGGGTACTGAGCTCGACGGACAAAGATTAACATACTGCCCTCCTGTTCCTCTCTCAGCCTTCTTTGGAAAGTATCTGAATGAGTACAACGGCTCCTATGTGCCCCCTGGCTGGAAGGAGTGGGTAGCACTGGTGAAGAACTCCCGCTTCTACAACTACACCCTCTGCAGGAACGGAGTACGAGAGAAACACAGCGGTGACTACTCGAAGGTAATTATACACTTCGCCTGAGAGATGTCACACCGAGACATGACTGCCTACTTGAAACTAAAGTAGTTATTTGGAGTATTTTTAGATTGCTTTAAAAGAGATCTTTACATTGTAAGCTGTTAACATTAGGGAAACATATGATAACAACTTACAAAGCATCAGCAGCATTTATAAATTACAATGTTTGTCTCTGCAAAAAGCTTTACACTTCCATGCCTAAAGAGACCCTATTATGCTTTTTGGGGGTTTTCCTTTTCCTGTTTATTGTGTTGTATAGGACTTTGTGCATGTAAATGGACTGTAACGGCTAAAATCCCAAAGGTCCATCCAGAGGGAGTTTCTCTCCCACACACTCCCCCCCCTGCCTGAAACGCCTCCATTGGACTCCTTGGTTTACTTCCGTACCATAATAACATCACCATGTAACAATTGCGCTTCTATTGGCTAGCACTCCAACACAATGTACGTGATAGGGGCGGGACATCTAACCGGTTGAACAATCCCAACAGAGCCTGCCGTCTAACTAATCCGAGCAGACTGGGTTCTGGTTTCAGACCTGCTGCAGCACAGGCAGTATGAGAACAATTAAAGACCTTTTTGAACATTTCAGCATCTAAACATGTTACAGTAGAGGCACAACATACAAATATAAAACCTGTACATGTGCATAATGGGGCCCCTTTAAGATATATAGTTAAACAGTAGTGCTTTAGTGAGTAATGGGCACTGAAGGGCTTGAAATCACCCACTGAGTTCCTGATGGACAACGTCTGCTCTCTCCACAGGACTATCTGACAGACATCATTACCAACGACAGCGTCAACTACTTCCGCATGTCTAAGAAGATGTACCCCCACCGTCCTGTCATGATGGTGCTGAGCCACGTCGCTCCTCACGGTCCAGAGGACTCGGCCCCGCAGTACAGCACCGCCTTCCCCAACGCATCACAGCACATGTAAGAAAATGCTTTAAAAATCAGCGACATCCAACCAATCCGAGAGTACTCCAAATGTTTTGGGATACTAGTGATTTGGGTCATATTAGACAAAGCAGTCGGACACAATGGCCATTTTTTGTTTACATTTTCAAATCCACAGCTATTTGCTCGCACATGACTCATCCACACGCTTCCTTTTCATTTGACCCAGAACGACACAAATTCTATAAACTCGATCTTATCTCTCACCGCCTGCAGTGTGCTCTTGGCATCTGAGCCCTCTCCACTCACTGCCAGCACTTTGCTCCAGTTTATTTGGCTGTGTGTTGTTCACATTAGTGCTACCCCTGTAATGAGTCCGGCTAATTTGCACCATTTTGTCAGCAGTGATCAAAGAGGCATGAATGATGTATGTTTAATGCATAGGTAATGATATTGGGCGTACACAAAAACATTTTATCCTTTGTCTTACTGGCCCCCTATGTTTCTGATTGGCTGTCTTGTGCCGCCTGCTAATAGCGGGGCTGATATTGGCCTCCAGAGACAGATCCAAGGCCAGTAATGAGACTGCTATTTCTGCCCCCTCCCTCCAAACTCACTAACACCCTTCTCCTGCTTCATATAATCCCCTCCAGCATCATTAACCTCTGCCACGCAGGCCCTAACACACCGAATATTGTAAAATTCAGCCCCAGTGTCTTTGTACAAACTTTTAATTGCTCTTTCTCCATAAATTTGCTTCACCCTCGGGTAATGTAAGCACTTCCGTGGCTATTTTTCTCACCCCATCTCCATCTGCCCTTATCAAGCAAATGAAGAGAGAGAGGCAGTAAAAGTGCTCACTCCTCTGGTGATAAACCTTCTCCTCACCTTGGCTCCTCACCTTGGCTCCTCGCAGGGATGTCTTTACACTACATTAGAGCTGCCACTGTGGGCCAAGCTGTGAGACATTAGCATTTCTTAAAGTCAAATCGATACACATTAAACGTTAAATATCTTTTCTTCAAGGATCCCATTAGCTATTTAGGAGTGTTTATTCTCAAATAATTAAAGTTCCATATGGCTCGGAGTTCATTATTGATCAGACCGTGCTCACTGTGTACAGGCCTATCAATTGCAGTGCTTTGCATTTCACAAGGTTTCTGTAACTTCCATTTTAGCTTTGTAGTTTTACTGATACTTTAGAAAGAAACAAATAGGACACATAAGCAGACGCAGGCGGTGAACATTGCTGTACACACACTGGTACACTTTCAATAATTTACATCTATAGAAAATGAAAATCGCATGTGTAAAGATGGGAGAAAAAGCAAACTTATGTGGGGCTACTGTGACATACTGAAATGAGGGCTGTGCTTTGTTATGTATCCTTAGGGATTTAAAAGAAGCACTAAAAATGTAAATGTATTTCCCAGCGCGGTGAGTTCTTCGTGGTTTAGTTTAAAGTTTTTCTACCTCCTTCAGAACTCCAAGCTACAACTACGCCCCGAACCTCGACAAACACTGGATCCTCCGCTACACTGGAGCCATGAAGCCCGTCCACATGCAGTTCACCAACATGCTGCAGCGCCGCAGGATGCAGACCCTGCTGTCTGTGGACGACAGTGTGGAGAAGGTAGCTAAAACACACTGATATATGCTTAAACACAGAAACCTACACACACACACACACACACACACACACACACACACACACACACACACACACACACACACACACACACACACACACACACACACATTTATTCTGAAAGTCTCAAGTCCTGGGAGATCTGTGCCTGTTCTGACTGCGGCTGTATAATGTATTCACTGACACACTTGGTAAATTGTTCAATCTCTATTTCTTGGAACTGGCACAGGAGACTTTTTAAACATCGAGTAAAACTTTTCCACAGTGTGAAACTTAAATGAATTCTATCCTCCTCCGTAGCTGTACAACATGTTGGTGGAGACGGGGGAGCTGGACAACACCTACGTCATTTACACCTCAGACCACGGCTACCATATCGGCCAGTTTGGTCTGGTGAAGGGAAAATCTATGCCTTATGAGTTCGATATCCGCGTTCCCTTCTACGTACGAGGACCTAATGTGGAGCAAGGTGCCATGTGAGTGACACAGACTCTTACTTTTATGTTATTAATGAATTATTCTGATGTCTAGATGCTCTTTTTCAATATTATTCATGTTAAAGTACATTGTTCAACCAAATTCTAATAAATCCTGTTCTTGCTTCCCTGCAGAAATCCTCAAATAGTGTTAAACGTCGACTTGGCGCCGACTATGCTGGACATGGCCGGTGTTGATATCCCTGCAGAAATGGACGGAAAATCGATCCTCAAGCTGCTGGACACAGACAGGCCAGTCAATAGGTGACACAACAGTTACTTTACTCAGTGTCCTGGCATTTAACGGACAATTCAAGAAGGGTATTCATAATGCAGCAGATTAAATGGCAATATGCCGAAAAGCTATTTGCCCGGACTCTGTAGAGTTTTAATACTAAAGTTGAACTTTCTGTTCTTGATGTTTTTTTGGACACGATGACATCTACAACCCAAATATGAATGTGGAACGCCACATTCCTTTCAGCACTGCGCTCGGATGACATTTTAAAACGAAATAGCGAGTTTGTTCAGGGCAAATATCACAGAGTGGTCTGACAGGGTTTTCATTTTCTTTTAACTCACTTTCCAGGTTCCAGGTGAACAAGAAGAGTAAACCATGGAGAGATTCTTTCCTGGTGGAGAGAGGGTATGTTTTATTGATTGACCTTTCGCAGGACATGTTCTCAGTCTCGACTCTTACTTGTCTTTCTGTCGGTTGAAAATAAATAATTTCCTGTACTTTTCAGGAAGCTTCCACACAAGAGACCTGATGGGAAGGAAATGGCCCAGGAGCAGAATTTCTTGCCTAAATACCAGCGTGTGAAGGACCTGTGCCAGAAAGCAGAGTACCAGACGTCCTGCCAGCAGCCAGGACAGGTACCTGACCGGCAGGAGCTCAGAAAGAGAGCTTTTTAAAGATTCAGGGATACAACGTGGAGTGTGGCTCATGCAGGGGGATCATTTGCAATCTTGTTTGACAATTTACTGAGTATAATATGCAGTCATTGCGCTCTCAGGGTTCAATTTGACATCAAAGTCTCCTTTTAATCCTCCAGAATGAAGTGTGCAGATGTGTTAAAAGCCTTCTGATTTGTTATAAAAAAGAGAAAGACTCTCAAATTAGATTATTTTAATACTGTTGATCTGGAACATTTCTTGCATTTTCAGAGCACCATGAGAGGTCTGTGTGTTGTAATTTGAGCACAACGCTGTAAAGAACCATTAAAACAGATATTTTTGAAGTGCGGTATGAGGTACATACCCATAGTTAGTTTATGACCTGCAGTAGATTGTGGCCAGCATACACCTGGTCTGGAGAAACAAACATGATTACCATCAAGGACTGTACAGCTGTGGATGGGGGCAACTGCAAAATATATTTTAGCCACCAAAGCTGCAGACTGATGGGGAACTGAAGAAGTGCTTTTTTGCTTTATGCTTTTTTCAAAGCCTCCAGACTCTTTTCTTTGTGTTATTGTATGACTTTGGTGGACACAAACTAACCATTTAAAGGTAGGGTAGGTAATTCACGTCAGAAACACTTTTTGTTATATTCCATGGAATGCTCTTAACATCCCGATAGCCAATAAATTAAATGCTTTGACAATAAATACATAACAAAATGTCATCTGTGGAAGCCGTGGTACTGTAAAAAGCACGACCAATCATCTGAGCCGGCCCGGCTAAAATAACTGGATGGCCTACCTGCCTGTCAGCCTTCCATCTCGTGCACAAACTTATCTCGTGCCCTCATTGGTCATGTGCGCGTTCGTGTGTGTTGGAGGAGGGGCTCTGTAAGGAAGTCTGAAGGAAGGGGCAGATTTTTTCCGGTTGTGTACTTTCAAATTCTAGCGCACTCGAGCTGGCTTCTCCATTATTACCTACCCTACCTTTAAGTCACACAATAACACAAACAAACTAATAATACGTATGGTAGGTCAGTTAAGCAGCAGTACACCCGGATGTGAGGTAAATTACTGTTTTCGTCAAAGGGGTGTGAAGACTTGTAGAGTGCATTAATGAATGTATTGGATCGGAAAGGGCTGTCTGCAAGGTAAAGTGGTGAAAATACTCTAAATAGAGCGTTTTAGGTGGTTATTATATGTTTTGCTACTGTTCATTGCTTAGTATTAGTACTTTCTGAATTTTCCAAACGAGTGACATGCCAACACCATCCACTGCAGGTATTCCACTGACTATTTGTAATGACCTCATACAACCCCACTTCAAAACATCTAAACTATCCCATTAAGTTTCCCTGTATCTATAATGATGATGTGCTTTAGTACAAGCCTGAAACCCAACGTCATGGAATGTCTTTCCGCCTTGTTTCAGAAGTGGCAGTGTGTAGAGGACCCGACTGGCAAGCTGAGGCTGTATAAGTGTAAGGGCATGGCAGGTCTCTTTGCTCCACGTATGCAGGCTCTGATGGCCAGAGGTGCCTCCCACCTCCAGATGCCTCCCACCTCCAACTCTGACGGCTGTAACTGCGATGATGTGGGCTTCAAAACATCCTTCCTGAAGAGGAAGAAGCTGCTCACCAAGAAGAGTATGTTCCTTCTGTCACTCACATGCACCATTGTTCTGGTAGTCGTTATTAATAGAACTGATTATGTTCTGAAAGACGGTACTTTGAAATGCAGAAGCCTTGTCAAACGGGGCCATTAACCTCCAGCTAAAATAACCACCTTCTAAAGTATTCATGAGATGAGCAGCATGTGTCTGTGCTGCCATCATGTGGTCGACTTCAGTAGAGCATTTAATCATAGGTCCTTTGAAGAAACACTAAAAAAGATTGCAATTGTTGGGATATAATTCCAAGTGCACATAAAGACTCTTACATATATCAGTATTTGCTTTTGTCATTTGCTGGTGTTCACTTGTGTACACCGCTTATATTTTGATCTTCATCCTTCTTTTTCATCTCCCTCAGATCCCTCTGTCTCATCTAAATCAGAGATGAAATCCGGTAAGGCTGCCTCGAGGAAGCGCTGGGCCCGCTCTGTGTCCTTTGAGCTGGAAGGGGACCTGTACGCTGTCGACCTGGAGGAGGGATACCAGCTCCTGGGCTCCAAGAATAGCAGCTGGGCCCCACATCAGAGCAAAGTGGAGAATGAGGAGGATAATGAAGAGTTCAGTGGCATGGGAGCCACAGCCATACCCACCACCAGCAGAACAGTCACACCACCTGCTTCTCTTAAAGTGACCTACAGGTAAGACAGTGTCTGTATTAACGTGACATGTTTGTGGTGATAAAAGGAGAAATAATTTAGACTTACACATGCTGATATCATTTTTTTGTATCCTGCAGGTGCTCTATTCTTATGAATGACACAGTGCAATGTGACGGAGGCCTCTACAAGTCTCTGCAAGCATGGAAAGACCACAAACTGCACATTGAGCATGAGGTGCTGATACAAACTCTTCCTCAACTGAACTTGATTTATATTGCCTTTCAGACAAACAGCACGTGAAAAAACAGGAAGAAAAACAGAAAAAATAATGATATTTGGATAAGTCACTAGAATAAATTAATGATAGTATGAAAAAACATGATTAAGAGTTGTGTAACAAATAATGACCTTAAGTAAAAGCCAGGCTAAAAAAATATAGTTTGATGTTTCTATTAAAATGTATTTTAGCTCTGAGCTAAAGTGGGTGCCTGGCCATTTATTGAGTCAATAAATAATAATAATAATAAGTTTAAATGCAATTCCTTGTCGAATCGGGCCCATAAAGCCAGTTTTGCAGGTTTTTATTAGCGTGTTGTATAATTAGGTTTGTGTTGCTGTGTTTGCTCCTCCTGTGTTTAGATTGAAACCTTACAGACCAAAATCAAGAACCTGCGGGATGTGAAAGGTCACCTTAAGAAGGTGCGGCCAGAGGATTGTCATTGTAACACTCCCAGGTGAGAATGTATCCGGGCCGCATTTATACCTGTGTATGAATATAACTACATAGGTCACAGTTGTTTCTTGTCTTCACAGTTATCTCTTCAAGAATAAAGAGGCCTACAGGCTCAATGCAGGGCGCATGCTCTCCGTCAAGTAAGAATTACATTGTTTGTCAATTTATATTTCTTCATGCAGTCTTGCTTTACTGAATTGGTTTTGCTCTTATTAGAATGCCATCAAAGTTGAAGAATCAGTGGCTCCAAAAGGAGCAGAAGCGCAAGAAGAAACTACGTAAATTCCTCAAGAGGCTCCAAAACAACGACACTTGCAGCATGCCTGGCCTCACCTGCTTCGTCCATGATAACCATCATTGGCAGACGGCCCCCTTCTGGACAAGTGAGGAACAACATAAAGACAAATAACTTTTTTCAAAGCAGCTATGGTGACAATCGTTTTTTGGAACAGTGTTGTAATAACCCGTTGTTTTCCACTCTCACCCCTCCCTTCCTCACCTACTCCGGTACCTCCCTCCCTCAGTGGGTCCGTTCTGTGCATGCACCAGTGCCAACAACAACACCTATTGGTGCCTGAGGACCATCAATGACACGCACAACTTCCTGTTTTGTGAATTTGCTACCGGTTTCCTGGAGTATTTTGACCTCAACAGTGACCCATACCAGGTATTTCATTTATACAGCCGCACTGAATAATATTGCAGACACATACATAACATAATAACTATAAAATGATACCACAACATGATTCATAGTGCATTCCTGTGAGCACAGGGGGTACCGATTTTTCCAGAGATTTTCCAGAAAAGCACTTACTGACATTCTTTCCTTATTATTCCTGTAGCTGATGAACGCTGTCAGCAGCCTCGACCGCAACGCTCTGAATGCAATGCATCAACAGCTCATGGACTTACGGGCCTGCAAGGGACACAAGCAATGCAACCCAGAGAAGGGTGACTAAGAAGCCTCTCAGGCAAACATGATTGATTATAGTGTCTCCGGTCATTTTACACTGAGTCTAATGTTACCCCTGCTTCCTTTCAGGAGGAAAAGAGAAAAACTACTTCAGTGAATACAGGTATTTTTTTCTTCCTCCTACAGCGCAGTTGATTACTTTCACAAACACTGCAGATGGATTTCAGGTTACAATTTGAACGGTGGGAGGTTACGGCCTCCCTAGAGGGCCCTTGGTTATATTTTATTCTCACTGTGAGTCATCTGTCGGGAAAATACAATTCTGTGATGTTGAGCTGAAATTGAACCTCTTCAAACGGGTTCCTTACCGTTGTGATCAAAGGCTCTTTAGCATGCAGAAGCAGAAGCCAAAGAGGCCCGAAATGCAAGCTTGCTTTTTAGCTTCTGCTCTACCCTTCTTGTAATGAAGCCTAATTGCTTTTCTCTGCTCTGTGTGTGTGTGTGTGTGTGTGTGTGTGTGTGTGTGTGTGTGTGTGTGTGTGTGTGTGTGTGTGTGTGTGTGTGTGTGTGTGTGTGTGTGTGTGTGTGTGTGTGTGTGTGTGTGTGTGTATATATATGTATATACACCTGTTTGTTTGTCTCCATGCACTTGCATTTGCCCCGTGCGTGTGTACATGCTGTGCATGCCTCAGGCCAGTTCATCGTCGAAAGAGGCCAAAAGTGAAGAAGCCTTCCTCCAAATCGCTGTGAGTTTGTCATAACCCATCTGTTCCCGCGTAGTAAGCCAATCTCTTCCCCTATCTCCATCCAGATTTGTTTTCCGCTTGGTCAGGTGACCCAGCAGCATGCTCCCCTCTCCCATTCTAATGTTCTTCTCCTATACTTACAGTAATTCTGCATTGCAAAGCTGCACTCCATCTTCTTTTCCATTCCACCACTCAAGTCAAAATCAATACAGCAATGCAGATGTGACGTTGTGTCATTATGTTGTTTTGTTCTGTTGTGTTTAGTCCTGTTCTTGTCATTTCTTACTTTTCCTTGTAGTGTTCGTAGGAACAGATCACAGCTAGAGCCATGGTTTCCAGTGAATGCCTCAGTTAGCACATTTAACTCACAGTGTTTTCTCCCATTCACAGAGGGCAGATTTGGGAAGGATGGGTTGGTTAACCGCCTGCATGCCACAACCCACCTCATCAGCCTCCTCCTGAAGGAAGGAGATTGAGGACCAGAGGACCTTGACCACACTTTGATGGACCACAACCTGAGATACTACTTTACTCTCATCTGGGTTTTACTCACCCAGGCAGAGGAGATGCTGAGAATGACAGGAAGCTCAAAGACTTTTCAATTCCACGTTCGCACACATTTCATTCTCATTATGTTCTGTTACCCCTCAGCTGTCCAGAACATTAACAGGAAGCTGTGAATCAGGTTGGACAGTTTGATGTCCACAAGCCATTCTGTCTAACCGTACTGCTTGTACATAATATATATCAGCTTTCTTTCATGTCATATGGGACTATGTTGAAACACCGTGAGTGACAACTCTGCTGCTACTCAACGATGTCACGGCCCTCATGATGTTTCTGTGGCACATGCTGATTAGCTTAAACATTTGGAGTAACAACAGGACATGTTTTCTTTCTCTGCACCAATGTGTCTGCACATGTAAGTGGTATGGCGTTTAAACGACAGACAAGATCTCTTTCGCCATAATCTTTTGTATTATAGTTGTAATGCTGATGAATGTCCTTTATGAAGCATTATCTTCCTCAAAGCTGTGAGATGTGAGATTGTCTGCCTTGATCCAAACACACCCAGTGTCAGCCACTCCTTGGACAGGCCTGTAGATCCCACCACTTCTCACAATGATACAACTCAACCGTCCAGAATATTTGAGCACTGGAAGGTGTCATAAGTGAAAACCATTTTACTGCTTTGTATCGTGAGTTATCACAATGTAGAAATATCTAAGTTTTGTTCAGCTTGCTCTATATGGTGCTACAGGATAACAATACAGAGGTAAAATCTTGCTGTACAGTACAGTATGTATTTGAATGTATGTTGTGCAATTAATATAAATGTTTACAATATTTTTTATAATACTGAAGAGGCAGAGCTCCTTGTATGATATGGGTATAAACTTGTAGGGAGAAATGTAGCTTGAAATTGCCCGAAACTGGTATGTCCTTTCCTTATTTACATCGGAAAAGCACTTAAAGGGTTCACTGTGAAGAGATGCGTTTAATGGATAAATAGTTTACTCTGTGCCAGAGGAACAACACAACAGTGTAATAATTATTGATGTGAATTTTAGCTATCTGCCTTTGTTAGCTTCTTTAATTATAATTTTTTCTAGCAAAGTTTCCATAGACCTGAGCGCTGATAGTAATTGTGAATAAAGTGTTGTTTGAAACTAAACGTGAGCCGACTTTAATTGTGAAAGTGCATGGTGGTTTGTGTTCCTGTCCTGCAGGGGTCTCTGTCTGTCCACAGGCTAACACCAGGGTAACATACATACAGTCTATGGGTAACATGCTACTTACCTTACAGCACAATACAAATACAATGGTGCACAGAGAGTTAGTCGTGATGATAAAGTAAAGAGTTAGGCTCCTCTGATCTTTGACTGGATGAGTAAAGTGAGAATAAATTGTAAAATGGGAAATGCAAGAAGTACTCAGATAATTTACTTAAAAGTAGTACTACTGCAGTGTAAAAATACTCAGTTATAAGTAAAAGTATTGCTTTAAAAAATGTACTTCAGTAAAAGTACAAACGTTTTTGGATCAAAATGTAATTTCAGTACCAAAAGTAAAATTACTCGTTTTGCAGAATGGTCCATTTAAGCACCATATATTTTTTTGGAGTGGGTGGGTGGGATGGGATTGAATTAATCCAAAATGTTGTGCAACCTGAATTGTCTTCTGTACTGTGTTGTACATTGAAGATGTTGCAATAAAAAATGTATGATAAAAAAAATAAAAATAATGTAAGTCTGCAAAGTAACAAGAAACTGAATCTGTAAAATAAATGTACTGGTGTAAAAAGTACAACGCTGCAATTGTAGCAGAGTAGAAATAAAAAGTAGTGTAGAAATACTTAAGAACAGTACTTCAATACATTACACCACTTATTTTATGCTATTTAAATAATGAACAAGTATACCACATAGCACATACTGGTGTGTCGCTTAGCAACCACAGTGTTATGCTAGGCTACTTTTCAAATTGTATCTTTAGCTAACGGCTAAAATCTGGTCAGACTATTTGATAAGCACCTTTTACGACTTCATTAAACACAACCATGATAAATAAACTGTCAAATTAAACAGAAACATAATGTAGTTGTTTTTTAATTCACAGAAAGATAGCTTTAAACGTTTATATATTGCTACAACTACAACAACCAAGTGGCCGTTTGTGTTCCGTGACGCAAAACGTGATGTGATAGTTGTCCACAGACGTTTAAACATTTTATGACTGGATTGTTCAGCCAACTGAGCCATTAAAAAATGTTTTCTTATGGTTTGGCCCCTCTACTCTTTCCAGCCAGCTAGTGGTGGGGATACAGGGACGTGGAGTGGAGGGGGTGCAGACTGGGTGACCCCCATCCCAACCTATGACTCACATGCGGGGGCGGAGACTCCATATCGGATTCACCACGAAGGACTGTCCCGTACTCACTCGTCGGACGACCGTACTGTTCGCACAGAAAACTACCTTCAGCCCGACTCCAGCTGAAATATCGTTTTCCTTTAGCTTACGCCTCGTTTACAATGTGAAGAAAAAATGGCCGGAACAAGGTACGTTATCTCTCATTTCGATTTAAAACTGATAGAAACTTAACTGGAGAAAGTTACGAAGCTCGGTTGCCTCGCTACCAGCCCGCCGCCGACAGCTTTCTGAGGGCAGACTATGAACCAGACCACGCCGCTGTGCATTGCATTACATATTTTCAGTATTTTAAAATGTTTGTTGGTAGTTTTATAACTTCAATTATCGCTTAAATGTCTGGAAATTAAGTTATATGATTGGGAAAAGTCAGTAATGTGAAGAGAGTAGGTTGAAATGATTCATTTAACCTCGACATTTAAATAATATGTAGCTAGTGGTGTCGCTATTTTATTAACAACAAGTGGTGTAAAGTAACTAAGTAGATTCTACCCAACTACAATTCAGGGGTTAATTCTGTACTTTTACTCAACTACATTTACTTAATCCCTTTAGTAACTTTACAGATTTGGAAAAATTATGTGAAATATATTAAGTTTATAGAATACTTTTGTGTTCACAACCCTGCAGCAAACACTTAAAATAAGCTGCACCTTTACCAGCTTGATACATACTTTAATGCATCAATCATTATTATCAAACATGTAATATATATTGTTCTTAAATGGTCCAATCTGCATAATGAGTACTTTTACTTTTGGTACTTGTATATTTAGATGCTAATACTTGAGTACTTTTACTTGAGTAACATTTTGAATGCAGGACTTCTACTTTAACAGAGTATTCCTTGACTGTGGTACTTCTACTTTTACTTAAGTACAAGGTCTGATTACTACCACCCCTGTTTAAAGGCAGTGTAGGTTGCTAGCTTGTAGGCTATGATTATGATAGAAGTTTAACCCTTAAAGTTGAGTTCTGCCACTGCCACTACTTAGTACCTGTAGTTGTGGGGGAAATTGAGCTGACTTTCTTTATATTTTTTCCCCAAGTCTTTGCTGTGGTTAGTAGGCAATAACCAAACGGAAGTCAAATGTTCCACAGCCCATTTGTTGCTCCAATTTTTACTGGAGGAAGCTAACTGGAGCTCAAATAGCTACTGGTTTGATCTCCACATGTTGAATTTCTTCTGCATCTGCTTTGCCTGCATTAAAACTTTGTTTAGCTTTTATCGGCTTCTTGGGACAGATGGTTTGCTTTAGTCCCCACAGTCTATTTAAAACTTTTGAGATGTATAGGATAAGCTGCTTTGGATATTTCCAACAACTTCTTTTTATTACTTATGCTTTTGTATAGTTCAAACTTGATGGCTTTTATTAGCTAAAGCTGAAGTTTGAGAGTCTTTGATATCATATTATTCCCATGTGTTTACCTCCTGCTGAAAACCAAACCATGGACATTGTTTGACAAACAATCTGCACAGACAGATGTCATTTATATAGCCTGAAGCGGTTAGTTTGGCACGTCATGCCACCCTGTCTTCCTGGGTGCAGCAGTTTCACCTTTCTCTGCCAGCTGGTGCTCATCTGATGACAGCGTGGTGTTGGTTTATGCAGACGTGTTAACTTCTCCATCTGTCCAGCACTACATCTCTATCTGTCCACCAGCACTACAACACAGACAGAGAAAGGCGGGACAAGACAATGGTCCCTTTGGTTTTCGCTCGCTCCTAAAACGTGTCTTCCACTCATTTGGGCCTTTCAACGTGAGGAGTGGACATTCAAATAGGATGTTGTCTCACTGTTATCCCTGTCAATGGGCATACAGAAGGGAACAATCCATGCATTTCCCTAACAAGATGGATCAAAACTCGGTCTTTTGACAAGGACAAGGCAGGATGTCCATCCTACAGAGAATTTGACAACGGAAAAGTTTGTTTGCATGTTGAGAGGAAGTGATTTTGACGCCTGTACTTTTTATGCGCTTTGACATTTTACCAATGTAATGGCTCATTTGGAGAAACACTTTTTTTGGACAATTTAAAACAAATTATGTTTCAATTATTTCTTTTTTTTAGTACTATACGCCTACTAACATAGCTGTGTTTTATTGCTCTTATTGCTTCACTCACACTTTTCATCTCACCGTTATTCTCTGCGGTCTGCCACAATGAAACGGTAATGAGGTTAAAGTGATTTGCCAAAACACATTTATATGTACCTGTGCAGACGCTTTCATTTAAAAAAATCTTTCCTCTGCAGAGATTAAAGGCGGGGTTGGCTTCCTGGCCGACACTAGCTGGAACCTGAAGCTCAGTGTGCTGATCATTACTCAATGGCTTTAAGGAATAATAGCTTGTGGGATGGTCTAATACGCTCTAATACGCTGTGAGGATGAATGAGTCATGTTTTTCAGAATCGCTGACAATTCTTTATAATCAAGTGAGCTGTCGGTAAACAACCTAAATGAGCTTTACACGAGGGCTGCACTATATTTGAAAAAACAGACATTTTAATATCTTTATCCAATCGTTTCTTTAAATTGAATCGGCTGCAATTGGCAAGTTTGCTTTGATTGTTTGATAAGATAATAATGAACAATTGTGATTAGTGTTTTGCTGTGTATGCGGAGCCTGTATGGCACACACTAGCAACAAACTGAGTTACCAAGAACCCTTAAATCAGAGGAAAATAGGTTATACTGTATGGGACATACTTCTGTTGTAAGTAAGAAATGGAAAGGCGATCTTTCCTTTTGTATCAGCTGCATACAAATTGAAGCATGGCTTGTTTGTGTGAATTTGCCTTAATTTGCAAGTCCTATTTTACTATTGCGAAAGCACACATCACAATGTCAATGCTGCAAGGATATATAGTGTAACTCTACTCTACCCTACAGCCCCACAAAGACACATAAAACACACCAGACGCATAGAAATGTAACTCTGCCTCGAGGACAGTATTTCTTTTGGACCCTGAAAAGCTGCATCACAGTTGTCTCCCTCCATTCCAAACATAAAGCTGTGTTGTTATCAAGAAATATTAATCCGTCCCTTCACCAAGGATCCCTAGCGATGGCCTCTTAAATCATAATCCCCCAACCCCCCCTCTTGGGCCCGTACATCTCCACCAGGCTGCTCTGCACTTCTAAGCCTGGAGATCTGCCGTCTGCACCTTCACTTCCTCCAGAGCACCATCCGGACGGTTGTTTCCTGTGTGGCTCCTTGGGCCAGCCACTGACCCCCCACTCACCCTGTAGCTCGGCCCTTGGATTAGACTCTGGCATCGTTTGTCATGTCAGCAGGGAAGGATTTCGGGGGGGATGGTGGGGTCTAACTCAAAATGAAGTTACAAACCTCTGCTGCTGGTGGTTGGCGAGCAGGTCAGAAACTCATAGTAAATGTTATTTTGGACGCACTCAGATGGCAGAGAGTTTATTTTTAAAAGGCAGAATATGTCTTAATTTTAAGTATGACCCTGAATGATCTGACAAGATATTGTTTGGACAATGAATGTTTAGGGTTATTAAGCACAATTACAACCTAATAGGTTAATTCATTTCTGTTGTTTGGATAAGTGACCCCATTGTTCCCGCTCTGACAGCTGGTGTACTGGACAAGGCCGGCCTGTATGTGTGGTAAACACCCGGATCCCGTCCTCAGCCTTTCCGGCACATGTTCACTCTCGTCCAAAGTTTTATCTGACCTGAAAAATCCTCATGTGTTCTTCTGCTAAGGAAAGGGGAGGATTTAAGGAAGGACAGGGACTTCTGTTTGGTCAGGCTTACCCCTATAAAAAGACATTTATTGACCCTGTCGTTGTAGTGGTGTCTCAGACAGACCGTGACTGTTCAGCCGAGCAGTAAGGGGGCCGGAAGTTCCCAGCATTTCTGCTGAAAGCTGCAGCTTTCGTGGGAGAAGGGAGAATGGCAGGACAAGACAATACTCTCCATACAGAAATCACAGGGCGCTTCTTCTCTGCGGTGAGTTTGTAGGCGGATTACAGGGAGGGCATCTGAAGTAACATTCAAGACTGCCAACGCTCAAATGTTCAGCTGGAACCGGTAGTGAGGTAGGCCCTATTATCTGACATCTCGTAAAGAATCGGTTTGTTGCAGCGGGGGTGAACAATTTGGCATCTACAGGGAATTTCATTCTCTCAGGCCATGTTAAATTGCTAGTTGGAAAGAAGCATGGGAAAAACTGTCCTTGCTGAAGGGTGGCTGAACGACCTTGTGCGATCCAGTCTAATCCAGTGCCAATGGAGAGGGGAAACTGTCTCTAGTTCTGGATTAGGGCAGCTGTTGAAGGAGGTCACCCCAGACCTCGTATACAGTCCTCCCCGCCGCGGCTCTGATTGGCTGGGCTCCCCTGTGTGAAGGCACCACAGAGAGTTCTCGTTGAATGAAGTCTGCCTGTTGATCTGACAATAGTCTGCATTGTTCTGTTCCATCACAGGCTTTAGAATAGGGTGCATTTCACAGGCTTTGTAATGCACATGACCGTGAGTCAACACAGGACATTCTTGTCAACTGGGTAACCATTTTGTTCTATTCCCACTCTTTCATGTCTAACGAGAAAGTGTTGGCGGCTGCAGCAAAAAGGAAAAATGTTAAGACTGATCAGTGAGATCAGTGTGTTTGCGTGGATCAGTCAAAATAGCCCAATAGAGTATTGGCTGCATTATGCAGAAATCGTAACTTTTTATTTTATTCCTATGTTTAAATAAACAAACAAACATCCAACAGTGGCACACGCTGAGAGGCATAAGCCTAGAAAAAACCGGACCATCTGGTTCTTGTGGTTTTAGGAGTGTGCATCACTGATGACTCGGGCATGCCTATCACGCTATTCTCATGTGATACTATATAGCATGAATGAGTTCATTGGAAGTATGTTTACTAATCACTATTGACTGAAAATGTCATTGTTGTAGGAGAGAATAACTCTGTTTGACTTAACATACATTGGCATTTAGATAGTGTAAAAGGGAGCAATCTGATGGGGTGCAACACTTTACTTTTATATCTGGCATATCATGGGACTGTACTGTCTGCCTACTGCTTTTTGAGATCAGTACTGCCATAAAAAAATGGTCACATCTAGTAAACAGCTTGTTAGCGTCTTATCCGTGCA